GGCCCCAAATGGACAAAAGATCTCTGCGCTGAACCAGGCTTCGAAAAAAATCTTAGAGATTAACAAATAATTTCAAAAACAAGAAAATTCAAAAAATCACAAAAAGGAAGTTAAGGAATAAACACTTACATTTATTACATTTGGATTTTTTAAAAAATTCAGTATTATTTTTAGAAATAAGATAATATAGTTCTAAATAAAAAAAGAATGTTAAGAATGAAGAAGGAATTAGCGGATGCAGCCGAAGCACACTCACAAATTACTCTCAATATCCACAAATCATCATACAAAGTTTTGTCGAATAGTTTGATATAAAGACAAAAAATTTACAATTTTTAATTAAATCCGAACAATCTTACATATGCAGCTGAAGCACACTCACAAATTACTCTCAATATCCACTCAAATCATACAAAGTTTTGTCGAATAGTTTGATATAAAGACAAAAAATTTACAATTTTTAATTAAATCCGAACAATCTTACATATGCAGCTGAAGCACACTCACAAATTACTCTCAATATCCACTCAAATCATACAAAGTTTTATATTTTCATTTTATTGTTTCTTAATAAAGAATTTACTTTAATATTCTTAATTGTTTTCTTTTTATATTTAATGTTTGATATCTATTTTAAAAAACTTATACAAATTCGAGTCAGCTAATAATTGAATTGAAAAAATAAAAAAAAATATAATTTTTAATCCGTCTAATTGAATAAGCAATATTATAAATATTATGTTAAACGGTTAATTTTTTCTCAAAAAAAATTATTTCGAATTTCCGAAATTTTTGACATTTTGGCTGAGAACTATGGTCTGCGAGGTACATAGATAGAATCAGTACCTCGCAGACTATAGTTCTCTATATGGCGCCGAAAATTTTTTGGTGAAATGTCGTCGCATTTCACCAAAAATTTTTCGGCGCCATAGGAAGAATTGGAGGGTGTGAGATACTATTACATGCTATAGTACTCACACCCTCCAACTCCCAATCAAAATCGCATAAAATTTGCTACTTATCTTCAGATTACCTCCCATTATAAAATATATCATTGCTATCTCATCGTACTATATTTCCACCCTATTGTATTTAAAAATATAAAATTTTTTGATAATATATTTTTATATCTTGAATTTTCAAGCAAAATATTCACAGATAATATAATGGGAAATCTATCTCAACCTAGCCTTAAAGTACCAAACTCCTGCTTGCATTCTCACTCACAAATATTAAACATCCATCTCCAAAAAACTAAATTCTTCACAATTTTTTAAAATTGAGAACATAAAAAATGTATGCATTCAATAATTTAAGATACTAACAAATATTAAAAACTTCAAAATATCAGATATTAACGTTTTTCAATTAAAAAAATATCATTTTGCTTTTCAATTCGAACATAAATCTTAAATATTTTTAATTAATATCTGATTTACAGCATTATTATCCATTTATAAATCTGACAAATAAATGACAAAACCATCAGAAATAGTGTCACTTTTTGTCAAAAGTGAAGTCACGCTATTTTTCATGCACAACACTCCATGGGCAAGCTTGTCGCAATTCAATGGGTTCCAAATCCAGGCAAGAAGACGAAGGTCAGACACATTGACGGTGACAAGCTCAACAACCGTAAGGAGAACCTCGAGTGGTTCTAAGAGTAAAAAATATTTTTAGGGGGAAACCCCAAGTAAATTTAAGTGTTTAGTTGGATAAGTAGGCACTATTAATGGTAATTTGGAAAATTAGCTCCCGACCTTTGAATTGGGCTCTTTCGTTATCTTCCCAGTTGCGTAGGAGGTCGTCCCAGAGGAGTTGGTAGAATTGCCAATTCAAGGACGATTTGTCCTCCCAGGCATTGAGGATGTACTGCTCGTAGAGTCTCATGACCTCTGCCTTGCACCAGACACCCTCTCCCTTGGAACGTAAGGCTTCTTCGAAGTGCTCGAATGCGATTGGCTGCTTGACCATCCGAAATGACACTTTTTGTCCGTTTGGTCAATGTTCGTGTCTCGTGCCATAGTCGACGAAAATACTATCATAAGACAAATTACGGAAAGTGAACTCAAACAAAAAGTGACACAATGCATTTGCCAACCAAATAACTTTACAAAGCAAAAACTTAAATTACTTGTCAAGCTTACTATTCTTATTTTAACAATTAAAAAATTAAATTTTATTTTTTATTTAAAAAAATCATCTTATATCATCTGATATATATATATAACAGCATTAATATTTCAATGATTCACAAATCAACTTTTTCATTATTTTAAATAATTATAGAATATATACCGACTTTTTGTACATAAATATTTTTAGATTCAATAATGATTTACGGTTTTTTTCAAAACTTATAATTTTCAAATGAGTGGTAGAATCTTCGATTTAATTGATTTAGAATGGTTAAATCAAGCTAATCAACAAATTCAAAGCGGTATTAACGTCGAAACCGTTCTCCAAAATGTCCCTTTAACAGATGGAAGAATTCTTCCCAAATATCACATAAAACTTTTAAAAACGCTTTAATTTCAATCAAATTGAAATTCCAAAATTACGTACAGGTCCAAAACCAAAAGATCCACCACAAGAATTAATAAATACTGTCCAAAATTTACATAATAAAGTTCAAAAAATAGGAATTTCCCGGGCTTTCGGCCGAATTATAACAGATCGTCAAATGATACTTGAATCGCAAATGCAAAATCAACAAAATATTCAAATTCATTTTCCAATTCCACAATTGTCTCAACGGAATCAAAATTCAGAGTTTGATTACAGTTCTCCTGACATTTCAAGTTCATCTGAACAGTTATCATCAGAAATCTCTTCAAATTCCGACGATTCATCAGCCGAAGAATTATTTTCATCAAGTCCAAATTCAATTGATACAGAATCGGATATAAATTCAGAAGATGACCCATATTCAATACGCACAAATACAACTTCAACATTTGAAAAAACTACAGATTATTTTGACCGTAAATTATTGAACATTCAATTTTCCGAAAGAACTGTTAATAAATGTTTCAAACTTCTCAATCTTGCACAACCGCCAAAAAATTCAAAGGCAAAAGGTCAAACAAAATACGAAGCTTTTTACGTTAATGAAATATGGCATGTAGATATTCACTTTTTAAATCATCGCCAAGGTGAATATCTATATGCCGTTATTGACGATAAATCACGAAAAATTTTGGCTTGGTCACATCTCGAAACTAAAGAAGCGGCACAAACAAGTCGTGTCATTCAACAATGTTTCGATGTATATGGCAAACCGTTTGCCATATGGAGTGACAATGGGCTTGAAAACTACGGTGTTTTCAAAAATTTATTAAAAAATGCAAACGTCGTCGAATCAATCACGATAATACCACACTGCCCTTACATGAATGGCAAAATCGAAAGATTTTGGCAGAATATTCAAGTTGATGAGGTAGCTTGGGATCAAATTCAAAATTTAATCGAAAATTATAACGCAACACCACATACACAGTTACCAAAAAATCCAGAAATACATACCTGGTTTACACCAAACAAATTTTATGATATCAGCGAAAAATATGATACCACCAAAGAACCCCTTTGGAAAGTTGATGGAGAAATTAAGGATTTGAGGATTTCTCTTCAACATTTCCGCGAGAGGAGAGCCAATCAAAGAAATTAATTCGGTAATATTTTAAAATCGAAAATAAAATCTAATTTTTAACACAAATTAACAATATCGATTACATCTTCTTACTAAGCTCAGTCAGATTAATAAGAATAAACACTTACTTTTTAAAACATTTACATATTTTTTTTCTTCGTTACAGAGATACGCAAGTTGCAGAAGAAGCAGCAACTGTAGTACAGTAATTTGACACTCCGAAATCGAACATTAGTGACTTTGAGTAGATTTTGAATTTAATATAGATCTTGATTTTTAATAACCATCATAGCAAGAGCTAGTTGGTGAATGGTATCCGCGAATTTCGGCTTGAAAGTTGGGAAACTTTGTCCGAATGTTAAACTATTCGGACAAAGTTTCCCGCTGTTTGCGAAGGAATTGTTGGCTATGATGTACTGATTCATGATCAGTGCATCATAGCCAACAATTCCTTATACAAAGTTCAAAAACTTGGGTGCAATCAGAACTGATTGCACCCAAGTTTTTGAACTTTCTCGAGGGAATGAAAGGTAAGAGATATCCATTTCCTTTCACCTTCGTTCTCAATAATTAACTTATAAATTTTTTAAAGCAAAAAAAGTCTGATTTTTTTTGACAAGTAAATATATAGGGAATTTATCCGACCAAATAAGTGTCACTTTTTCGGTTCACCTCACTTTCCGTAACTCGTCTTACAACAATACAGACAAACAGGTTATATATGAGTTTGAGACCAAGAATGGTGTAACTCGACCTGTCCGATTCAAAGACTCCGAGGGCGACCATGAAATTAAACGGAAATTAGCTAGGAAGGAATATAAAATGGACTGGTTGCCACCACCTCCACCACCTTTACCTGTTCCTCAAGTAAATAAGCCTTTCCCGTTCCCAAGAATTCCCACATTTAAATTCAAATTCGAATAAAAATTTTTTATTTCATGCAATGTTTAACTATTTCACCATCTTCTTTAACACCCCAGTACTTACGCTTGGAGAGGACATGAACTTCGGTGAAAATTTTGTCCAATTTGAATTGACCCATCTTTTCACCGACCATTCCCATTTCAATGAGTTTGTTATAGCCTTCTTCGTTCGTCATGAGTGCGTCAATGTTCTCATAGTAAACCTTGACTTTGGATTTGACTTCGGAGAAGAACTCATTGTAGTTGTCAAGGACTGCCTTTGCGAACTGAGGGTAAGACCAATGTTCGACAATAGGTTTTAATGTGGTTACTAAGCCACTTTGACCTTGAGTGAATTCGTACTTCAAAACAAAAGGAGAAAACCTTCAACAAAGTTGTCGACCTTCTCATAATGTTTACTCTTCATCTCTTGAGGTTTCTTAATGGAATATCCCCATGTCGAATTCATAAGCAATTTGAGTGTCATTGCAAGTTTGGGGTTTGAAGCTTTCCTAATATCATACAGTTGTTGTATGACTTTTCCAACTGTATAGTTCCTTCCCGGGAACTCACCATCTTCGTTTGGAATTCCAGTCGGAATATATTGGACAAACCTCATGTATGCAGCGTTAAGGTCGACATAGTATATCTTTTCATCTGAGTCGAACTTGTTGCAACCAATTGGTCCAGTTTGTGGAAATTCAAGTGAGTCTCTTATCTTCTGAGAAACTTCTCCTGTTATCTCATAAACATCGTCGAAGCAACCTGTTTCATATAAAACCTTCTGACCTAACTCAGATGCTCTCCAATATAATTTGACGTCAATTGGATGTCTCAATGGAAGTTTGTTTATAGCATCTTGAAGTTCTTGCAACCTCATTGGAAGTTCTTCTGGTTCAGGTTGGTATCTGAACATACCAACCCCTTGTGGAACCGTGTACTTCTTTTGTACTAGAACTTTGTCTGGAACAACTTTTGGTCTTGCTAACAATGAAAAGTTTGTTTCGTCTTTTGGTACAAAAGTTTCTGTCAGCTTGTCATCTGGAATTGGTTCCAACAAACCTTTCTTGAAAAGAATGTTGACAGCTCTGACAATGTTGCACTTACTTTTACCAAAGAATGGGTTTGTAAGACTTTCGTTCAACATGAAGTGGTTGTGGACAATTACAATCTTCAACCATGGTAAGTCTTTGTCAACAACATAGTCGTCATGTGAAGAACCTTTAGCTGTAGGTATGTTGACTCGGATATTGACATTTGCCAACGGTGCAATTTTTGCCAATTGACCTCTGAGAATGTACCTTGTCTTCACACATGACTCAAGATACTTCATCTTCTCATCTGTAACAAGACCAGAGTTCCTGAGACATGTAAGAATGCAAGGTTCATTGACAATTGTTTCAATTGAATTGTAAATTCCATACCTTGTCAAGTCAATGTCAGACTTATTTATGAAGGGGAAGTATCCAGCATGTTGTCTGACTGCTTGAGGGTTAGGTTGGTACCATTCGAACTTGACACTTGCAATTCCTTCAATTGCATTCAAAATGTCTGAGTCGGAGTCAACCATTTGTTCTCTCTTTGTAGTCTTGAAAGCGTCAAGAAGTTTTGCGGCTGTTTGTTCATTGCCATGTGCATAGTAAATGTGACCATCCAAATCTGTTATGGTCAATCTGAGATTGTGTCCTTTCTTATTTCCGTCTTGAATTGCAGCAAGTACTCCCATGAAGCCTTCTTTGTTCTTTCCTTCGTCAAAGTTTACTGTAAAGGTTCGACCAGATGTAATTTGACTTCTAACTTCACGATACTTTTCATATGCATATCTTGTTCTTTCCATGGGAGCATGTGCGTCTTCACCTTTTCCTTTTTTCCTTCTCAAAGGATGCAATTGTTCGTCATGTTTCCAGTAGAATCTGGCAAAGCCGTCGTGTCCTTCAACTTGAGGTTCACTAACATCGAAAGGCATGTCCATAAGACGTTCTTCTTCTAACCTCTCTAGTCTGTTTGGATAATTGGCACGTGCTGTTTCCAAATCCATTTCGTAGCGAAGACCAGACAATTTGTCATAGACTTTTATGGGTCTTCCCTTCCTATATTTAAAATTCTTCGAAACTCTCCAACCATATCTTTGTAACTCTGCTTTTATTCTAGCAGACTTTCTATCCATTCTATATGGGGCATTTTTATAAAAATAAAAAAATATTTTTTCTTTACTTTACATAACCGCCTGCTGCCATAAGTCTTTGACGCCAACCCATACCAGCTAATGAAGGTTGACTTGGTTTAGTTTGGAAACTAAACTTTGGTTTTGGTTTATCTTCAGTTTTTGGTTTCTCTTCTTCTATCGGTTTTTCGTCACTTTTCGGTTCCTCTGACTTTACTTCACTTGCAGGAACAGTTGTGTCGTCAACATCTTCATAAATATCATATGCCATTTGTTTTTGTTTTCCTTTCAACTTTTTGTGTTTGTTGTAAAGTTTAGAATATTTCGACTCTAAGTCAATGAGATGTTCTATAATGAACTGTTGGTCAGTGAAGTAAACTTTTCCATCTGTTGTCTCCAAAGCTGTAATGCATGAAAAATAGCGTGACTTCATTTTTGACAGTTTACAAATGTAAAGTGTTGCATCCTTAAAAACTTGGAAATATATACATTCATGAATTATCTTGTATATTAATTGAAAATCCATAAAACCCTAACAATATTTTTTCTTAAAAAAACTATAAAAATATAAATAAAATTAATCGTTAAATAAAAATATTTGATATTAGAATTTTATTGGAAAAATAAAAAACTTAATATTTTAAAGAAATACTTAAATACTTGAATGTTTTAACTTTTACATTATCATATAGACTCTCAAATTATTGATTGGAAACGGTTTGAGGGTTATCAATTTAAAAAAAATTGTGAGTTTTTTAAATTTTTGGCAATGAGTTTTAAAAATTTGTGAGTGAGAATGTGTGTTGATGCTTGGCACTTTGAAGGGAAGATGTTCTGGGTTCACAATTATTAATGGGATAAATAAAATGATTATAAATATAATATATTAGAAAATAATTTGCAAAATCTCTCCATTTTTATAAATTTAATAATAGAAGTTGATCTATATAGAAAGAGCATTTTATCTATTAAGTTTTTGGCTTTTGCCTTCAAATCATTAATATAATTTTTTCAAAAAAAATTGTTTTATTTAAAATAAACAAATTTTATCAAATAACTAGTATTTTTAAATTATCTTTTGAAAAATTGAAAAATTTACAAATTAAAAAATGGAAGACATCTTGGTTCGTCTCGAAAACCCAGAAGATCTTAAAACTTTTCAACTCCCAACCGTTCCCGCCGATCAGGTTCTCAACGTAATTGAAGAAAAATATCAAGAATACATTAATAATCCAAATGTAACTCTCGAAGATACGGCAAAAACACTTTCAATAGGAAAAGAACGTTTGAAAAAAATTTTCGTACTACTCGGCTATCCAATAAAAGAAAGAGGAAGACCAAAGAAAAAAATTTTTGAGGAAGATGTATACAAAATTTTGGAAATTAAAGCACAATATGACATTGGATACAAAAGGATCAAAGAATCATATTTCGAAAAAGTCGAAAGATTTACATTCAACGATGCTTTCAAAATTTTCAATCAACAACATTTGTTTACATTTCACAGGCATCAGAAAATCGACGAACATCCACATGAATACGTTGCTCAATATGTTAATCAATTGTGGCATACTGATTTGAAATTTCTGAAGGACGATAACGGTAACCTTCAATATTTAATTTCATTTCTTGATGACAGAAGCAGATACATTATTTGCTGGGATGTTTTCGATACAAAAGAAATGAAAAATACTGCCAGAGTATTTCGTCACGCAATTGATTTAGTCAAATTAGTTCCACATGGAATTCTCACAGATAATGGAACAGAATTCATTGGAAAAGATTTTGAAGCGGTTTGCCAAGAATTCAATATAAAACATTTCAAAACTCATCCGTACTCTCCAGAGGAAAATGGAAAAATTGAAAGGAGTTGGGAGACTCTTTTCAAGACAAACCCTGGAGTGAACGTCTTTGAGTTCATCCCCAATGTTGTTTCCCAGTATAATAGGGTATGGAAACACTCCGCATTATTCAAACTCTTTGGGGAGAAATTGACTCCATTTGAGGCCTGGGAAAGAGGCCCAAATGGACAAAAGATCTCTGCGCTGAACCAGGCTTCGAAAAAAATCTTAGAGATTAACAAATAATTTCAAAAACAAGAAAATTCAAAAAATCACAAAAAGGAAGTTAAGGAATAAACACTTACATTTATTACATTTGGATTTTTTAAAAAATTCAGTATTATTTTTAGAAATAAGATAATATAGTTCTAAATAAAACAAAGAATGTTAAGAATGAAGAAGGAATTAGCGGATGCAGCCGAAGCACACTCACAAATTACTCTCAATATCCACTCAAATCATACAAAGTTTTGTCGAATAGTTTGATATAAAGACAAAAAATTTACAATTTTTAATTAAATCCGAACAATCTTACATATGCAGCTGAAGCACACTCACAAATTACTCTCAATATCCACTCAAATCATACAAAGTTTTATATTTTCATTTTATTGTTTCTTAATAAAGAATTTACTTTAATATTCTTAATTGTTTTCTTTTTTATATTTAATTTTTGATATCTATTTTAAAAAACTTATACAAATTCGAGTCAGCTAATAATTGAATTGAAAAAATAAAAAGAAAACATATAATTTTTAATCCGTCTAATTGAATAAGCAATATTATAAATATTATGTTAAACGGTTAATTTTTTCTCAAAAAAAATTATTTCGAATTTCCGAAATTTTTGACATTTTGGCTGAGAACTATGGTCTGCGAGGTACATAGATAGAATCAGTACCTCGCAGACTATAGTTCTCTATATGGCGCCGAAAATTTTTTGGTGAAATGTCGTCGCATTTCACCAAAAATTTTTCGGCGCCATAGGAAGAATTGGAGGGTGTGAGATACTATTACATGCTATAGTACTCACACCCTCCAACTCCCAATCAAAATCGCATAAAATTTGCTACTTATCTTCAGATTACCTCCCATTATAAAATATATCATTGCTATCTCATCGTACTATATTTCCACCCTATTGTATTTAAAAATATAAAATTTTTTGATAATATATTTTTATATCTTGAATTTTCAAGCAAAATATTCACAGATAATATAATGGGAAATCTATCTCAACCTAGCCTTAAAGTACCAAACTCCTGCTTGCATTCTCACTCACAAATATTAAACATCCATCTCCAAAAAACTAAATTCTTCACAATTTTTTAAAATTGAGAACATAAAAAATGTATGCATTCAATAATTTAAGATACTAACAAATATTAAAAACTTCAAAATATCAGATATTAACGTTTTTCAATTAAAAAAATATCATTTTGCTTTTCAATTCGAACATAAATCTTAAATATTTTTAATTAATATCTGATTTACAGCATTATTATCCATTTATAAATCTGACAAATAAATGACAAAACCATCAGAAATAGTGTCACTTTTTGTCAAAAGTGAAGTCACGCTATTTTTCATGCACAACACTCCATGGGCAAGCTTGTCGCAATTCAATGGGTTCCAAATCCAGGCAAGAAGACGAAGGTCAGACACATTGACGGTGACAAGCTCAACAACCGTAAGGAGAACCTCGAGTGGTTCTAAGAGTAAAAAAATATTTTAGGGGGAAACCCCAAGTAAATTTAAGTGTTTAGTTGGATAAGTAGGCACTATTAATGGTAATTTGGAAAATTAGCTCCCGACCTTTGAATTGGGCTCTTTCGTTATCTTCCCAGTTGCGTAGGAGGTCGTCCCAGAGGAGTTGGTAGAATTGCCAATTCAAGGACGATTTGTCCTCCCAGGCATTGAGGATGTACTGCTCGTAGAGTCTCATGACCTCTGCCTTGCACCAGACACCCTCTCCCTTGGAACGTAAGGCTTCTTCGAAGTGCTCGAATGCGATTGGCTGCTTGACCATCCGAAATGACACTTTTTGTCCGTTTGGTCAATGTTCGTGTCTCGTGCCATAGTCGACGAAAATACAGACAAACAGGTTATATATGAGTTTGAGACCAAGAATGGTGTAACTCGACCTGTCCGATTCAAAGACTCCGAGGGCGACCATGAAATTAAACGGAAATTAGCTAGGAAGGAATATAAAATGGACTGGTTGCCACCACCTCCACCACCTTTACCTGTTCCTCAAGTAAATAAGCCTTTCCCGTTCCCAAGAATTCCCACATTTAAATTCAAATTCGAATAAAAATTTTTTATTTCATGCAATGTTTAACTATTTCACCATCTTCTTTAACACCCCAGTACTTACGCTTGGAGAGGACATGAACTTCGGTGAAAATTTTGTCCAATTTGAATTGACCCATCTTTTCACCGACCATTCCCATTTCAATGAGTTTGTTATAGCCTTCTTCGTTCGTCATGAGTGCGTCAATGTTCTCATAGTAAACCTTGACTTTGGATTTGACTTCGGAGAAGAACTCATTGTAGTTTCAAGGACTGCCTTTGCGAACTGAGGGTAAGACCAATGTTCGACAATAGGTTTTAATGTGGTTACTAAGCCACTTTGACCTTGAGTGAATTCGTACTTCAAAACAAAAGGAGAAAACCCTTCAACAAAGTTGTCGACCTTCTCATAATGTTTACTCTTCATCTCTTGAGGTTTCTTAATGGAATATCCCCATGTCGAATTCATAAGCAATTTGAGTGTCATTGCAAGTTTGGGGTTTGAAGCTTTCCTAATATCATACAGTTGTTGTATGACTTTTCCAACTGTATAGTTCCTTCCCGGGAACTCACCATCTTCGTTTGGAATTCCAGTCGGAATATATTGGACAAACCTCATGTATGCAGCGTTAAGGTCGACATAGTATATCTTTTCATCTGAGTCGAACTTGTTGCAACCAATTGGTCCAGTTTGTGGAAATTCAAGTGAGTCTCTTATCTTCTGAGAAACTTCTCCTGTTATCTCATAAACATCGTCGAAGCAACCTGTTTCATATAAAACCTTCTGACCTAACTCAGATGCTCTCCAATATAATTTGACGTCAATTGGATGTCTCAATGGAAGTTTGTTTATAGCATCTTGAAGTTCTTGCAACCTCATTGGAAGTTCTTCTGGTTCAGGTTGGTATCTGAACATACCAACCCCTTGTGGAACCGTGTACTTCTTTTTGTACTAGAACTTTGTCTGGAACAACTTTTGGTCTTGCTAACAATGAAAAGTTTGTTTCGTCTTTTGGTACAAAAGTTTCTGTCAGCTTGTCATCTGGAATTGGTTCCAACAAACCTTTCTTGAAAAGAATGTTGACAGCTCTGACAATGTTGCACTTACTTTTACCAAAGAATGGGTTTGTAAGACTTTCGTTCAACATGAAGTGGTTGTGGACAATTACAATCTTCAACCATGGTAAGTCTTTGTCAACAACATAGTCGTCATGTGAAGAACCTTTAGCTGTAGGTATGTTGACTCGGATATTGACATTTGCCAACGGTGCAATTTTTGCCAATTGACCTCTGAGAATGTACCTGTCTTCACACATGACTCAAGATACTTCATCTTCTCATCTGTAACAAGACCAGAGTTCCTGAGACATGTAAGAATGCAAGGTTCATTGACAATTGTTTCAATTGAATTGTAAATTCCATACCTTGTCAAGTCAATGTCAGACTTATTTATGAAGGGGAAGTATCCAGCATGTTGTCTGACTGCTTGAGGGTTAGGTTGGTACCATTCGAACTTGACACTTGCAATTCCTTCAATTGCATTCAAAATGTCTGAGTCGGAGTCAACCATTTGTTCTCTCTTTGTAGTCTTGAAAGCGTCAAGAAGTTTTGCGGCTGTTTGTTCATTGCCATGTGCATAGTAAATGTGACCATCCAAATCTGTTATGGTCAATCTGAGATTGTGTCCTTTCTTATTTCCGTCTTGAATTGCAGCAAGTACTCCCATGAAGCCTTCTTTGTTCTTTCCTTCGTCAAAGTTTACTGTAAAGGTTCGACCAGATGTAATTTGACTTCTAACTTCACGATACTTTTCATATGCATATCTTGTTCTTTCCATGGGAGCATGTGCGTCTTCACCTTTTCCTTTTTTCCTTCTCAAAGGATGCAATTGTTCGTCATGTTTCCAGTAGAATCTGGCAAAGCCGTCGTGTCCTTCAACTTGAGGTTCACTAACATCGAAAGGCATGTCCATAAGACGTTCTTCTTCTAACCTCTCTAGTCTGTTTGGATAATTGGCACGTGCTGTTTCCAAATCCATTTCGTAGCGAAGACCAGACAATTTGTCATAGACTTTTATGGGTCTTCCCTTCCTATATTTAAAATTCTTCGAAACTCTCCAACCATATCTTTGTAACTCTGCTTTTATTCTAGCAGACTTTCTATCCATTCTATATGGGGCATTTTTATAAAAATAAAAAAATATTTTTTCTTTACTTTACATAACCGCCTGCTGCCATAAGTCTTTGACGCCAACCCATACCAGCTAATGAAGGTTGACTTGGTTTAGTTTGGAAACTAAACTTTGGTTTTGGTTTATCTTCAGTTTTTGGTTTCTCTTCTTCTATCGGTTTTTCGTCACTTTTCGGTTCCTCTGACTTTACTTCACTTGCAGGAACAGTTGTGTCGTCAACATCTTCATAAATATCATATGCCATTTGTTTTTGTTTTCCTTTCAACTTTTTGTGTTTGTTGTAAAGTTTAGAATATTTCGACTCTAAGTCAATGAGATGTTCTATAATGAACTGTTGGTCAGTGAAGTAAACTTTTCCATCTGTTGTCTCCAAAGCTGTAATGCATGAAAAATAGCGTGACTTCATTTTTGACAGTTTACAAATGTAAAGTGTTGCATCCTTAAAAACTTGGAAATATATACATTCATGAATTATCTTGTATATTAATTGAAAATCCATAAAACCCTAACAATATTTTTTCTTAAAAAAACTATAAAAATATAAATAAAATTAATCGTTAAATAAAAATATTTGATATTAGAATTTTATTGGAAAAATAAAAAACTTAATATTTTAAAGAAATACTTAAATACTTGAATGTTTTAACTTTTACATTATCATATAGACTCTCAAATTATTGATTGGAAACGGTTTGAGGGTTATCAATTTAAAAAAAATTGTGAGTTTTTTAAATTTTTGGCAATGAGTTTTAAAAATTTGTGAGTGAGAATGTGTGTTGATGCTTGGCACTTTGAAGGGAAGATGTTCTGGGTTCACAATTATTAATGGGATAAATAAAATGATTATAAATATAATATATTAGAAAATAATTTGCAAAATCTCTCCATTTTTATAAATTTAATAATAGAAGTTGATCTATATAGAAAGAGCATTTTATCTATTAAGTTTTTGGCTTTTGCCTTCAAATCATTAATATAATTTTTTCAAAAAAATTGTTTTATTTAAAATAAACAAATTTTATCAAATAACTAGTATTTTTAAATTATCTTTTGAAAAATTGAAAAATTTACAAATTAAAAAATGGAAGACATCTTGGTTCGTCTCGAAAACCCAGAAGATCTTAAAACTTTTCAACTCCCAACCGTTCCCGCCGATCAGGTTCTCAACGTAATTGAAGAAAAATATCAAGAATACATTAATAATCCAAATGTAACTCTCGAAGATACGGCAAAAACACTTTCAATAGGAAAAGAACGTTTGAAAAAAATTTTCGTACTACTCGGCTATCCAATAAAAGAAAGAGGAAGACCAAAGAAAAAATTTTTGAGGAAGATGTATACAAAATTTTGGAAATTAAAGCACAATATGACATTGGATACAAAAGGATCAAAGAATCATATTTCGAAAAAGTCGAAAGATTTACATTCAACGATGCTTTCAAAATTTTCAATCAACAACATTTGTTTACATTTCACAGGCATCAGAAAATCGACGAACATCCACATGAATACGTTGCTCAATATGTTAATCAATTGTGGCATACTGATTTGAAATTTCTGAAGGACGATAACGGTAACCTTCAATATTTAATTTCATTTCTTGATGACAGAAGCAGATACATTATTTGCTGGGATGTTTTCGATACAAAAGAAATGAAAAATACTGCCAGAGTATTTCGTCACGCAATTGATTTAGTCAAATTAGTTCCACATGGAATTCTCACAGATAATGGAACAGAATTCATTGGAAAAGATTTTGAAGCGGTTTGCCAAGAATTCAATATAAAACATTTCAAAACTCATCCGTACTCTCCAGAGGAAAATGGAAAAATTGAAAGGAGTTGGGAGACTCTTTTCAAGACAAACCCTGGAGTGAACGTCTTTGAGTTCATCCCCAATGTTGTTTCCCAGTATAATAGGGTATGGAAACACTCCGCATTATTCAAACTCTTTGGGGAGAAATTGACTCCATTTGAGGCCTGGGAAAGAGGCCCCAAATGGACAAAAGATCTCTGCGCTGAACCAGGCTTCGAAAAAAATCTTAGAGATTAACAAATAATTTCAAAAACAAGAAAATTCAAAAAATCACAAAAAGGAAGTTAAGGAATAAACACTTACATTTATTACATTTGGATTTTTTAAAAAATTCAGTATTATTTTTAGAAATAAGATAATATAGTTCTAAATAAAACAAAGAATGTTAAGAATGAAGAAGGAATTAGCGGATGCAGCCGAAGCACACTCACAAATTACTCTCAATATCCACTCAAATCATACAAAGTTTTGTCGAATAGTTTGATATAAAGACAAAAAATTTACAATTTTTAATTAAATCCGAACAATCTTACATATGCAGCTGAAGCACACTCACAAATTACTCTCAATATCCACTCAAATCATACAAAGTTTTATATTTTCATTTTATTGTTTCTTAATAAAGAATTTACTTTAATATTCTTAATTGTTTTCTTTTTTATATTTAATTTTTGATATCTATTTTAAAAAACTTATACAAATTCGAGTCAGCTAATAATTGAATTGAAAAAATAAAAAGAAAACATATAATTTTTAATCCGTCTAATTGAATAAGCAATATTATAAATATTATGTTAAACGGTTAATTTTTTCTCAAAAAAAATTATTTCGAATTTCCGAAATTTTTGACATTTTGGCTGAGAACTATGGTCTGCGAGGTACATAGATAGAATCAGTACCTCGCAGACTATAGTTCTCTATATGGCGCCGAAAATTTTTTGGTGAAATGTCGTCGCATTTCACCAAAAATTTTTCGGCGCCATAGGAAGAATTGGAGGGTGTGAGATACTATTACATGCTATAGTACTCACACCCTCCAACTCCCAATCAAAATCGCATAAAATTTGCTACTTATCTTCAGATTACCTCCCATTATAAAATATATCATTGCTATCTCATCGTACTATATTTCCACCCTATTGTATTTAAAAATATAAAATTTTTTGATAATATATTTTTATATCTTGAATTTTCAAGCAAAATATTCACAGATAATATAATGGGAAATCTATCTCAACCTAGCCTTAAAGTACCAAACTCCTGCTTGCATTCTCACTCACAAATATTAAACATCCATCTCCAAAAAACTAAATTCTTCACAATTTTTTAAAATTGAGAACATAAAAAATGTATGCATTCAATAATTTAAGATACTAACAAATATTAAAAACTTCAAAATATCAGATATTAACGTTTTTCAATTAAAAAAATATCATTTTGCTTTTCAATTCGAACATAAATCTTAAATATTTTTAATTAATATCTGATTTACAGCATTATTATCCATTTATAAATCTGACAAATAAATGACAAAACCATCAGAAATAGTGTCACTTTTTGTCAAAAGTGAAGTCACGCTATTTTTCATGCACAACACTCCATGGGCAAGCTTGTCGCAATTCAATGGGTTCCAAATCCAGGCAAGAAGACGAAGGTCAGACACATTGACGGTGACAAGCTCAACAACCGTAAGGAGAACCTCGAGTGGTTCTAAGAGTAAAAAAATATTTTAGGGGGAAACCCCAAGTAAATTTAAGTGTTTAGTTGGATAAGTAGGCACTATTAATGGTAATTTGGAAAATTAGCTCCCGACCTTTGAATTGGGCTCTTTCGTTATCTTCCCAGTTGCGTAGGAGGTCGTCCCAGAGGAGTTGGTAGAATTGCCAATTCAAGGACGATTTGTCCTCCCAGGCATTGAGGATGTACTGCTCGTAGAGTCTCATGACCTCTGCCTTGCACCAGACACCCTCTCCCTTGGAACGTAAGGCTTCTTCGAAGTGCTCGAATGCGATTGGCTGCTTGACCATCCGAAATGACACTTTTTGTCCGTTTGGTCAATGTTCGTGTCTCGTGCCATAGTCGACGAAAATACAGACAAACAGGTTATATATGAGTTTGAGACCAAGAATGGTGTAACTCGACCTGTCCGATTCAAAGACTCCGAGGGCGACCATGAAATTAAACGGAAATTAGCTAGGAAGGAATATAAAATGGACTGGTTGCCACCACCTCCACCACCTTTACCTGTTCCTCAAGTAAATAAGCCTTTCCCGTTCCCAAGAATTCCCACATTTAAATTCAAATTCGAATAAAAATTTTTTATTTCATGCAATGTTTAACTATTTCACCATCTTCTTTAACACCCCAGTACTTACGCTTGGAGAGGACATGAACTTCGGTGAAAATTTTGTCCAATTTGAATTGACCCATCTTTTCACCGACCATTCCCATTTCAATGAGTTTGTTATAGCCTTCTTCGTTCGTCATGAGTGCGTCAATGTTCTCATAGTAAACCTTGACTTTGGATTTGACTTCGGAGAAGAACTCATTGTAGTTGTCAAGGACTGCCTTTGCGAACTGAGGGTAAGACCAATGTTCGACAATAGGTTTTAATGTGGTTACTAAGCCACTTTGACCTTGAGTGAATTCGTACTTCAAAACAAAAGGAGAAAACCTTTCAACAAAGTTGTCGACCTTCTCATAATGTTTACTCTTCATCTCTTGAGGTTTCTTAATGGAATATCCCCATGTCGAATTCATAAGCAATTTGAGTGTCATTGCAAGTTTGGGGTTTGAAGCTTTCCTAATATCATACAGTTGTTGTATGACTTTTCCAACTGTATAGTTCCTTCCCGGGAACTCACCATCTTCGTTTGGAATTCCAGTCGGAATATATTGGACAAACCTCATGTATGCAGCGTTAAGGTCGACATAGTATATCTTTTCATCTGAGTCGAACTTGTTGCAACCAATTGGTCCAGTTTGTGGAAATTCAAGTGAGTCTCTTATCTTCTGAGAAACTTCTCCTGTTATCTCATAAACATCGTCGAAGCAACCTGTTTCATATAAAACCTTCTGACCTAACTCAGATGCTCTCCAATATAATTTGACGTCAATTGGATGTCTCAATGGAAGTTTGTTTATAGCATCTTGAAGTTCTTGCAACCTCATTGGAAGTTCTTCTGGTTCAGGTTGGTATCTGAACATACCAACCCCTTGTGGAACCGTGTACTTCTTTTGTACTAGAACTTTGTCTGGAACAACTTTTGGTCTTGCTAACAATGAAAAGTTTGTTTCGTCTTTTGGTACAAAAGTTTCTGTCAGCTTGTCATCTGGAATTGGTTCCAACAAACCTTTCTTGAAAAGAATGTTGACAGCTCTGACAATGTTGCACTTACTTTTACCAAAGAATGGGTTTGTAAGACTTTCGTTCAACATGAAGTGGTTGTGGACAATTACAATCTTCAACCATGGTAAGTCTTTGTCAACAACATAGTCGTCATGTGAAGAACCTTTAGCTGTAGGTATGTTGACTCGGATATTGACATTTGCCAACGGTGCAATTTTTGCCAATTGACCTCTGAGAATGTACCTTGTCTTCACACATGACTCAAGATACTTCATCTTCTCATCTGTAACAAGACCAGAGTTCCTGAGACATGTAAGAATGCAAGGTTCATTGACAATTGTTTCAATTGAATTGTAAATTCCATACCTTGTCAAGTCAATGTCAGACTTATTTATGAAGGGGAAGTATCCAGCATGTTGTCTGACTGCTTGAGGGTTAGGTTGGTACCATTCGAACTTGACACTTGCAATTCCTTCAATTGCATTCAAAATGTCTGAGTCGGAGTCAACCATTTGTTCTCTCTTTGTAGTCTTGAAAGCGTCAAGAAGTTTTGCGGCTGTTTGTTCATTGCCATGTGCATAGTAAATGTGACCATCCAAATCTGTTATGGTCAATCTGAGATTGTGTCCTTTCTTATTTCCGTCTTGAATTGCAGCAAGTACTCCCATGAAGCCTTCTTTGTTCTTTCCTTCGTCAAAGTTTACTGTAAAGGTTCGACCAGATGTAATTTGACTTCTAACTTCACGATACTTTTCATATGCATATCTTGTTCTTTCCATGGGAGCATGTGCGTCTTCACCTTTTCCTTTTTTCCTTCTCAAAGGATGCAATTGTTCGTCATGTTTCCAGTAGAATCTGGCAAAGCCGTCGTGTCCTTCAACTTGAGGTTCACTAACATCGAAAGGCATGTCCATAAGACGTTCTTCTTCTAACCTCTCTAGTCTGTTTGGATAATTGGCACGTGCTGTTTCCAAATCCATTTCGTAGCGAAGACCAGACAATTTGTCATAGACTTTTATGGGTCTTCCCTTCCTATATTTAAAATTCTTCGAAACTCTCCAACCATATCTTTGTAACTCTGCTTTTATTCTAGCAGACTTTCTATCCATTCTATATGGGGCATTTTTATAAAAATAAAAAAATATTTTTTCTTTACTTTACATAACCGCCTGCTGCCATAAGTCTTTGACGCCAACCCATACCAGCTAATGAAGGTTGACTTGGTTTAGTTTGGAAACTAAACTTTGGTTTTGGTTTATCTTCAGTTTTTGGTTTCTCTTCTTCTATCGGTTTTTCGTCACTTTTCGGTTCCTCTGACTTTACTTCACTTGCAGGAACAGTTGTGTCGTCAACATCTTCATAAATATCATATGCCATTTGTTTTTGTTTTCCTTTCAACTTTTTGTGTTTGTTGTAAAGTTTAGAATATTTCGACTCTAAGTCAATGAGATGTTCTATAATGAACTGTTGGTCAGTGAAGTAAACTTTTCCATCTGTTGTCTCCAAAGCTGTAATGCATGAAAAATAGCGTGACTTCATTTTTGACAGTTTACAAATGTAAAGTGTTGCATCCTTAAAAACTTGGAAATATATACATTCATGAATTATCTTGTATATTAATTGAAAATCCATAAAACCCTAACAATATTTTTTCTTAAAAAAACTATAAAAATATAAATAAAATTAATCGTTAAATAAAAATATTTGATATTAGAATTTTATTGGAAAAATAAAAAACTTAATATTTTAAAGAAATACTTAAATACTTGAATGTTTTAACTTTTACATTATCATATAGACTCTCAAATTATTGATTGGAAACGGTTTGAGGGTTATCAATTTAAAAAAAATTGTGAGTTTTTTAAATTTTTGGCAATGAGTTTTAAAAATTTGTGAGTGAGAATGTGTGTTGATGCTTGGCACTTTGAAGGGAAGATGTTCTGGGTTCACAATTATTAATGGGATAAATAAAATGATTATAAATATAATATATTAGAAAATAATTTGCAAAATCTCTCCATTTTTATAAATTTAATAATAGAAGTTGATCTATATAGAAAGAGCATTTTATCTATTAAGTTTTTGGCTTTTGCCTTCAAATCATTAATATAATTTTTTCAAAAAAATTGTTTTATTTAAAATAAACAAATTTTATCAAATAACTAGTATTTTTAAATTATCTTTTGAAAAATTGAAAAATTTACAAATTAAAAAATGGAAGACATCTTGGTTCGTCTCGAAAACCCAGAAGATCTTAAAACTTTTCAACTCCCAACCGTTCCCGCCGATCAGGTTCTCAACGTAATTGAAGAAAAATATCAAGAATACATTAATAATCCAAATGTAACTCTCGAAGATACGGCAAAAACACTTTCAATAGGAAAAGAACGTTTGAAAAAAATTTTCGTACTACTCGGCTATCCAATAAAAGAAAGAGGAAGACCAAAGAAAAAAATTTTTGAGGAAGATGTATACAAAATTTTGGAAATTAAAGCACAATATGACATTGGATACAAAAGGATCAAAGAATCATATTTCGAAAAAGTCGAAAGATTTACATTCAACGATGCTTTCAAAATTTTCAATCAACAACATTTGTTTACATTTCACAGGCATCAGAAAATCGACGAACATCCACATGAATACGTTGCTCAATATGTTAATCAATTGTGGCATACTGATTTGAAATTTCTGAAGGACGATAACGGTAACCTTCAATATTTAATTTCATTTCTTGATGACAGAAGCAGATACATTATTTGCTGGGATGTTTTCGATACAAAAGAAATGAAAAATACTGCCAGAGTATTTCGTCACGCAATTGATTTAGTCAAATTAGTTCCACATGGAATTCTCACAGATAATGGAACAGAATTCATTGGAAAAGATTTTGAAGCGGTTTGCCAAGAATTCAATATAAAACATTTCAAAACTCATCCGTACTCTCCAGAGGAAAATGGAAAAATTGAAAGGAGTTGGGAGACTCTTTTCAAGACAAACCCTGGAGTGAACGTCTTTGAGTTCATCCCCAATGTTGTTTCCCAGTATAATAGGGTATGGAAACACTCCGCATTATTCAAACTCTTTGGGGAGAAATTGACTCCATTTGAGGCCTGGGAAAGAGGCCCCAAATGGACAAAAGATCTCTGCGCTGAACCAGGCTTCGAAAAAAATCTTAGAGATTAACAAATAATTTCAAAAACAAGAAAATTCAAAAAATCACAAAAAGGAAGTTAAGGAATAAACACTTACATTTATTACATTTGGATTTTTTAAAAAATTCAGTATTATTTTTAGAAATAAGATAATATAGTTCTAAATAAAACAAAGAATGTTAAGAATGAAGAAGGAATTAGCGGATGCAGCCGAAGCACACTCACAAATTACTCTCAATATCCACTCAAATCATACAAAGTTTTGTCGAATAGTTTGATATAAAGACAAAAAATTTACAATTTTTAATTAAATCCGAACAATCTTACATATGCAGCTGAAGCACACTCACAAATTACTCTCAATATCCACTCAAATCATACAAAGTTTTGTCGAATAGTTTGATATAAAGACAAAAAATTTACAATTTTTAATTAAATCCGAACAATCTTACATATGCAGCTGAAGCACACTCACAAATTACTCTCAATATCCACTCAAATCATACAAAGTTTTATATTTTCATTTTATTGTTTCTTAATAAAGAATTTACTTTAATATTCTTAATTGTTTTCTTTTTTATATTTAATTTTTGATATCTATTTTAAAAAACTTATACAAATTCGAGTCAGCTAATAATTGAATTGAAAAAATAAAAAGAAAACATATAATTTTTAATCCGTCTAATTGAATAAGCAATATTATAAATATTATGTTAAACGGTTAATTTTTTCTCAAAAAAAATTATTTCGAATTTCCGAAATTTTTGACATTTTGGCTGAGAACTATGGTCTGCGAGGTACATGGATAGAATCAGTACCTCGCAGACTATAGTTCTCTATATGGCGCCGAAAATTTTTTGGTGAAATGTCGTCGCATTTCACCAAAAATTTTTCGGCGCCATAGGAAGAATTGGAGGGTGTGAGAAAAAAAAAGGGGTAGTGGGGCTTCCAGGCGCGTTGCGCCCTCTAGCCCTGAAGATGTTTAGTATAAATGAAGTTTATATTCGGAGGGCTTCCAGGCGCGTTGCGCCCTCTAGCCCATAAAAAATTTCTGAGGACGAGCCAGCCGGTGACTTTTTTGTAGAGCACTCAAAATAGTATAACTTTGTCCGGACAAGTAAGGGTCTATCCTCGCTAGAGGAAAAGTTACAGGCGTTCCAAGGAAGTATACTTTGAGAAGCCTTTTCCCCCTTATAGAATGAGATAGGATGGTTATTTTACAAAACTGACAACACTTTGACCGAGTAGTTTTTTGTGCCGAACAAAAAGTGTCATATAAACATCTGTCAAAAACCGCTTTTTAACTTCACTTAAAATGCCACGTAAGCTACGTAAGAATATACGTAAGAGGAAGGGAGCATTGAAACATCCAATAGTAAAACTGACACCACAACAACAGTTGCAACAACAAATTATGAATGACCCCACTATGTTGCAACAAATGTCAAGCAACCCTATGCTTTTAAACCGAGTTATTGGTGCACAGAGTGGAGGTTTAAGAGCGGCACTTTTAGCGAAAATGGCAGGCTATGGTGGAGCTGCAGACGGAACAGCTTATAACCCTCAAAGTCAAATGAATTTGAGTTCACTCAAAAATCAAATAACAGATGTCAAAAAGTCAAACATAGACATACAGAAACAAATAAGTGAAAACGAAAAGAAACTAGAATATGACAGACACACAAAGAAACTCAATGAGTTAAACGTAGAGAAAAAGAAGAAAGAAGAACAACTGAAAGAACTAAGTACAGAGGAATATGCAAAAAAGTGTCAAAAAAGCAGCAGAAGTAGCAAAAATGGAACAAGATGTTATAAATTTGAAAAACCATACTACTCAATATAAAGTACTGAAAGATGAAGAGATAAAACAAAAAGCCATGAAGACATATATGGATAGCGATGAGTATAAAAAAGAAGTTGAAGCAAATGTAAAGGCAGAAAAACTTTTACAGTTGCAAAACCAAAACCGTACAGTATGAAAACTTAGCACAAGAAAGTAAAAATAACGACACAGCCATGCAAAAGGCAATGAAAAGCGCAGAATATATAAAAGCTAATAATGACTGGTTAGATGCCCAAGCCAACGCTAAAGCAGCCCAACTTATAGGGTCAATAAGGACAAAAATACAAGCGGATGAAGACAGTTCAAATGAAGCTTTAATGAATGCTGACTTTAAGAACGCCTTCGAAGCTCTTCATAGTAAGGTGAAACTAGTGAACGACTTCTCATCTGGAAAGAAACTGAAGTCTGAAGGTTTCGACAAAGAGTTAAGAGAAGTAGCACAAAATATGACGAAAATAACAGATGCAGCAACGAGACAGGCAGTTCAAAGTGCCTATGACGCCGTTAGAGCAACTGTTGTGGAAAGTCAAGAAAAAGAGTTACAACAGACCAAAACAGACCTAGTAAATGCTTTCTTAAAAACGAAAAGTCAGGTAGGACATTATGCTGCAGATGGAACATATGTGCCAGCTGGTGGAACTTATATACCACCAAACCCTCCAAGAGAAGCACCTGCACCAGGACTACCTAAAACATTTACATCGTCACATGGACACAGACACAGGCATGCACCAAAACCAACACAACAACCAACAGTTCAAAATCCAGCACCACAACAACAACCAAAACCAACAGTTCAAAATCCAACACAGCAACCAACAGTTCAAAACCCTGCACAGCAACCAACAGTTCAAAATCCAGCACAGCAACCAACAGTTCGAAATCCAGCACAGCAACCAACAGTTCAAAACCCTGCACAGCAACAACCACAAACAGAGCAAGGACATAAAAGAAGTAGAGAAAAAGGAAACCAAGAATTCTTAAAAATGCTTAAGGAAGATTATGGTTACCCAGATACTCTTGACTTTAGTGACAGATATAAAGAAGCTATTAGAAAGTTCAAGGAAGGAAATACTGACCCGAACCTATTTAGCTTTATGGTTCAGCACCAAATGGGATATAATCTCAAACCTGGAAAATACAAGCTCGCTAAGGGATATGATTTAATAGCATATCATCCAAATGACATGAATGAATTTACTCCGAGATATTTGGTGTCAGAGCTAAATGATAATTCAACTCTCTTCATGAAACGCGTAAAAATAGAGACGGAACGAAAGAAGAAAGGTTTATGAGTCCGGATGACTTAGATAGGGAACTTGTTAAAAACGGTCTCGGAATATATGAAATGCCAGCAGATGAGGTACAAGAAACTCCACAGGAAGAAGTTCAGATACAACCAGACATGGAAGAAATAGTTCAGCAACAACAGCTAGAAGAGCCTGAAGGAAACGAACAAGTCCCTCCTTTGGAAACTAACTTCACAGAACTAGATGAAGATTTGGAACAGCCGAAAAATCTTGACCCTCAACAAGAGTATG